GGAAACCACTCTCTCATAAACACAGTAAAAATGGCAGGACTTACAACCATCACCGCAGCCATAGCGGCAGTCGCCCTCCTCCTCCGCCTCGTCTACAACTGGCTCATGCCCAAGCCCATCCCAGGCCTCCCGCATAACCAAGACTCGGCGTGTCGTATCTCGGGCGACGTCCCGTACTTTGCGGAGTATGACAAGGCGGCGCGCTTCCGGACCAGGTTCTTCTACGACCTGGTGGCCAAGCACAAGTCGGCCGTCGTGCAGGTCCTCCTGCCCTTCTCCAAGCCCCTCGTCATTGTCGCCGACTATCGCGAGTCGAGGGATCTCATGGCGAAGCGGAGCAAGGAGCTCAGTCGCGGGTACATGAATAACGTGGCGTGGCAGGGGTTCTTGTCGGAGCACTTTATTGCCATGGAGGACGCGCACCCGTCGTTTAAGAAGTCGAGGTTTCTTACGAAGGACTTGATGACGAACAGTTTCCTTCACTCTGTACGATATCTCCCTACCCTTTATCCTCATTCTGGTATATCAATTTGATATAACGCTTTCAATGCACCCAAGTCAACGAATATTAACGTGCCCTTAGGTCTCTGCCCCGGCGTCGCACGTAGCCATCTCTGACTTCATTCGCCTCTGGAAACGCAAGGCAGCTCTCGCACAGGGGCTGCCATTCGAGACTGTCGAGGACTTGGAGGGCCTCACCTACGACATCATGATGACAGCCGTCTTTGGCGTCGGGTACGAGGAGAGCACTACGGCGAAGTATTTCAAGCTCCTGGAAGATGCCGGTAACGACGTTGTGGTTCCGAGCGGTTCGTCCGCACAGGTTGCCAAGTTCCCGTCACCCGAAACCCCGGCCCTTGTGAAAGCGCTCCACGTCCTCAACGTCTCCATCACGGCGGTCTTTGGCTCCGTGTTCCCCAAGCTGTCCGTTTTCATCGAGAACCTGAAGCCCAAAGCGCGTCAGGCCCTGAAGTTGAAGAAGGATGCAGTACAAGCCCAGATCGATGCCGCTGTCAAGAGAGCCGCCAAGGGTGGCTCGTCGGAGCACAAGTCGGCGGTAGACTACGTCGTCTCCCGAGAGAAGACAGCGGCCGTCGAGGAGGGACGTGAGCCAAGGTATGATGGCATGCAGCTGAACGATATGCTGTGGGGATACATCGCCGGCGGCCAGGACTCTACCCATAGCACCCTGTGCTTCACGGTCAAATACCTCGGCGCGCACCGAGTGGCCCAGCAAAAGCTGCGAAGGGCCCTGCGATCCGCTTACACTAAGGCATATGCGCAGAAGCGCGAACCCACCATTGAAGAGGTCCTCAGGACGCAGGTCCCCTACCTGGACGCCTTCATCGAGGAAACTCTCCGCCTGTGCAGTCCCGCGGGAGCCATCACCAAGGAAACCGTCCGTGACATCAACGTCCTGGGCCACGTCATTCCCAAGGGCACGACGCTCATGTTCCTCCTCACCGGTCCGACCTTCGTACAACCAGGGGTGCCCGTCGACGACGCAAAACGCAGCGAGACCTCGCAGAAGGCATCGAGCGAAGGCGTCGGCGACTGGTCGCACAGCGACTCCCCCGCCGAGGATTTCCGCCCCGAGCGATGGCTGCAGGTCGAGAGCGAGGCGGTCAAGTTCAATAACAATGCTGGGCCGTTTATGAGTTTCAGCAGCGGGCCCAGGGGCTGCTGGGGGAAACGGCTGGCGTACCTGGAGCTGAGGATGATTGTAACGCTTTTGGTGTGGAACTTGGAGTTTTTGAAGTTGCCTGCCGAGCTGGAGGATCCTGGGTTGACGGAGGGGCTTTTCACGAAACCCAAGTCTAGTATGATTAAGCTGAGAGTTATTTCGGATACGGAGTGAGTCTGGGGTTGAAAGGGGGAACCGAGATCGGCTTGTATTTCGAAGTATCAAGATTGGTATTCTTACTACATTTCACATAATATATAAGGCTTGTCTTAAAAGAGGTGCCTAGCTGAAAGAGAAAATGAATGTTGCCCACTACATGTGAGCGATTTCGAATATTCGAACGCATTTTGTTGTTTGATATATTTCAACTGGGCGCCTGGAAAAACTTACTCTTTTACAATGTCCCTCTGGGCAACTACCCTTCAGTGTAGACCAACACCTACGTATGTCCTAGAGTGAGCCCTAGGCCAGGATCCTTCAATAGAGCAGCAATCCGTCGTTCTCAAGCCTTTCACGAGTCTGTCATGTCAGCAAATATCGTTGAAGCAAGAGAGCAAGTGGGGCTAGACCAAGTTATAGCATGATCAGTTCGACCGGTCCACTCCACTATTACGGAGAAGAACCAAGTCAACACAGACAAGTCATTCACCGAAACACTACGACTGATCTCTCACGGGGCCGAACATTCACCAACAAACGAGCCGCAATACTAAGATAGTCCTGAGCGCTCTCACATGTGAATGGACACAACCAGGGAACCCTCAAAAATATGCAAAACATACAACACCAGGTATTCGCTGGTCGTCACCGACCCAACTACTAATCCGGCCCTCACTGGCTTATCTATGGGAGAGCGGACGGGATCCCGAGTTTTCCAGTGGGTATGGTCGTATGTGAAGGCATCACGATGTCAAGTTGAATATGAACTCTGTAGCGGCGGGAAGACGCGGCTCTGCTCTCAACTCTTAATACCATATTGTATTATTCTTATAGTAGACCGGCTCAAGACTGCGAAAAACCAATCAGAAATGTTGGTCTCCTTGTTTTTAAATTTTGGGGGTTGAATCTTGTGGTGTTGATTGCAAATGGCGAACATTGGTGCTGGTGTTTAGAATGATGTGCAACATCTCGCATCCGGCATCATGCTTACCTTACCTACCTTGGACAGTGCTAATCAGCTGTGCTCAAACCACAGATCAATTATTCGATATTCCCGCTGGTCGAAATATGGCAAGTGAAATAAGCTAGTGAATGTTCTCATAATCTCAAATATCTCGAAATGCGTCGTCGACAAACGAACCGCAACACCGTCAAAGCCACAGTTCACTAAGCAAACCACCAGCCACCAAACCCAACTTGAACCAACCAAATGATGTGCCATAACACCACAGGTTACCTTTTCTGGACAACCCAGCAACCACATTTTCCTAGCTAGACAAAGGAGACTTTGAAGAATAGTAGGTATTGCTGTTGTAACGAAAAAGCCCATGTTTATTTCCTAAGCCTATCACAAGCCAGGGGGGGAACGTGTACCCGATATCTCGTTCGTCCACCCCCCTCACCTAAGTAGGCACCCAGGGTACCTTCTTTGCCTCCGTGTTGTTGTTGGTAGTTCATCCGCCGCCCTTTTTTTCATCATCGGCTGTCTCCACTTCCGTCCCCCGGTCTCCGCCTCCGCCTCCGGAGCCCCTTAACCATCACGCCCGCCGATGAAAATCTTCCGTGCTCACGACTCCCCCACGCCGCCATGCACGTTTTTGCCTACCTACTCGCCCAAGATAGCGCCAGATAGTAGTCTGGTAGGCTTATCAAGTGAGAACAGACACAAACAAAACAGCCCCTTGAACCCTTCACCGACAGGCACTAGGCGGTAGTAGCTCGGCCCAAAAACGCCATCGAGGTTTGCGGTTCGTTCCATTGCTAGTAGCGTAGTACAAGCCCGGTCAGCCACGCCAAACACTAGAGGTAGACCGTAGGAGACCGTGGACAGCAACAGACACTCTATTTGTCCAAGAGTGCGAATCCAGCCCAGGCCAAAATGGAATTTCTGTTGCCTCAGATTCACCCATTCAACCTCCCCCCATCCAAGCCTCAGTCGCTCGGTTCCTTAGATCCAAACGAGCCTCGCACTTTGCACTCGAACTCGAATTTCCTTATCTCTGTCCATTAAGAACACATTCCCCAGATCTCGTCACCGCCCGACCGCTCAGATCTCCCTTCCCTCCTATTCCTAATCACCCGCCCGTTCACCCCGCGATTCTTCAAGATCAGATTCGTTTCCCCCCCCCCCCCCGGACAAGCGGGCGTTTTCTTGGAGGGGGTGACCTGCCAGCCTAACCCCACCATTGCGTTCCCCGCCATCCGAGACATCCACACAGGACCACCACAGCAACTTCACTGGGCCCTTGGGGTCGGTGAGGTGGGACAAGGGCGAACAGGTGAACATTGAAGCCGCTAGTACCAAGCATGTGGCCTTCAATCTCCGAGATAATATCGCAAAAAGGCGACTGCAGGCGCGGAGCGGAGTGAAACAAAAGTGTCCAGATCCTTGCCAAGTGCTGTCGTCTGGCTAGAGGTGCCAAATGCGCGAGTACGCATACGGTGATCGACGTCGATAAAAAAAAAAGAGGAACCTGCGGGGTGCATCCGCACCACGCGAGCTGGAGCTTTCACATGTCAAAAAAAACAAAAGGCTGCCAAACTCCGAGGAGCACCCCCAAGCCTGAACTGAGCGCTTTTCAACCCTTGCAGATTCTTGTGGTGCGTCAGTCGCCAGGGAGGAACAAGAAGTTGAGATGGCAGATCAGCCCAACAGAAATAGGAGGGAGATGAAGAGGGAAATCATTGAACCGACAACAGATTTGCAAGTAAGACGATGTCTATTATATGTGAAATATGTTTTTTCGTTTAATAAGTAAAATTTGGGGGAAATAACAGTGTGAAGGGTATCAACTACAAGAGCCTTCCCTGATCAAATATAATAAATCTGGGTAAATCTGGTTCCGCAAGTAAATCATCGTAGCCTCCCGTGCGCGGCCCGCAACAGGGCTGGGACACTCCCGTAAATTACGTTCATAATCGTGCCCAATATATCCTGCCTTGGTTTCCCTGGGAATCTGCCTTTTGATAACGATTCCCACGTGCTGCAGGTATCTCTTCTCCTACATCGTGATATAGCAAGCGCCCTCATACCCGAGGAGGCAAGCGCTGGCGTCCTTCGGTTCGGTATTCCGAATTTCGTCCGGAGGAGCAGTGGAGCTTACCAATGGTAAGGTATTTCCACTGATGGTAGTATTGTTGACATTGAGTCGTGATATTACCGTCCCACGAGGGCGCTTTCCTGGGCCCTGAGCTCGTCGTTGCCCTTCATTATCTCTTCAAGCCACTCGGCCGCCATAGTCAACATCGTGCTCTTGCTGAAGCCGCCTCCCTTGAGACCTGGCACAAGCTCGCAGAGGTCATCGAAGCCTTCCTTGATCAAAGTACGGCGCTTTTGCTCGCTCTTGATGTGGTTTTCTCGTTTCTGTGCATCCGTGAGGTTCTCCCGTGCTGGTTTGGCCCCAGTCCCGGATTTACGCCTCCGGCCTGTGCCGTTTTCTGCTGGCGGGGTGGCTGATGTAGGTTCGGTCTTCGTCTTGCGTTTTCTTGCCGCTTTCATTGTGGTACCATTCTCTTCATCATCCTCGTCAACTTCCTCCTTCGTGCTCCTGCTCTTCCTCCTTTTTCTTGGCGGTGCATCAGCATCCTCTTCTTTTTTCAATACTTCGGATGACTTTCGGCTGTGACATTTTCCTATTGCGTGCTCACCGTTCGGGCTTGGTGGGCGAGTATTATCTGTGCTTTGGCTTGGCTCCAAGCATTCCATGTACCTCAGCTGGCCTCGAGACAGAGCATCGTAGGTTTCTTTAGGATCCGGAACAAAGCTGTTGGAGCGGTTGAATCGAGCATCCGAGCCCCACTGTACATCGATATTGGGAACCTGGTTAGCCCGTTGCGAAGACACTCTCTCGCCAGGAGCGGGTCCGAAAAACATGTCCGCGAATGTGCTATCATGATCATCAACGAGACTGGCCTGAGCCACGCTGCCTCGTTCAGCACGCTTGAAATCCTCCATAGGTTGGTGCCTTAGGTGGCCGACGGGTGGACCGAGGGAGTGCGGAACGTCCCTGGTGCTGCTGAACATCGGCCCAGACCCATTTGTGTTTGTTCTTGACGAGGAACCGTTGTGCAGTAGTGTGCTGGCGGCCTGAAGAACGTCGGCTGAGGCGTGCTGATCGAGTGTCGGGTGTGATTGCTGATGATGATGCTGCTGCGGCGGCGGTGGCGGCTGCTGCTGATGCTGCTGCTGCTGTGGGGGAGGAGGAGGAGGAGGCATCAGGTTTGAGCCCATGGACATCATGTCCGCAAAGTCGTTATGGGGCATACTATGCCCAGGGGAAGCAAGAGGCGGCGGTGCCGGCGACTGGCCAAAAGATGTTGCCGTCCCCATGAACTGGGGAGGTAATTCCAACCAAGCATCGCTGAAGTTGAGTCCTTCGCCGAAAGAAGGTAGATTGTAATGATCGGCAGTCATGTCCTCGAAGAAGGAGCTGAGTAATTTGGTTTCATTGTCGGAGAGAAGAGGAGCGCCAGGCGCAGGTTCGGGAGGGTCGAGGAAGAAGTCTTGCGAAGGATCAACGGCATCTAGAAAAAGGTTGTGAGTATTTGACTTTGGTGGGAAATGGACGAGACGGTTTACTAACAGCCGAAGGGCAAATTGGGGTCTGACGGCTGCGTCGAACCCATCCTGGGACGTTGTATGGCGAGCATGGGTGCGTCTTGTGGCAAATGGACGGTGGCCGTCGAATGCGCTGGTTCTGGTTCTGGTTCGGAGAGCGAGAGACGTTGGTCGCGAAGGCCTCGAAGCGTAAGAAAGAGTGAGTGTAGTCGACTCGAAGGAGGGCATGCGCATTCCTATGGGCAAATCGATATCCTATGAATCATTGACGGAGGGGTGGGACGTGTGTATCAGGAGCGCAGTGCAGCGCAGCGCGTCTATACCAAAAGGCTCGTCCGGCTGAGAGAGAGCATACGGTAGAGCGGTCTCGAATGGGTTATCAGCGAGTCGCTTGATTGCCTTGTGATTTGGCGGGGTGGCGGATTGTAGTTGTTGCAGCAGCGACCGCTATGGTGTTGTTTGATAGGAGTCTGGAGAGGTTGGTGGGTGTATTTGCCGTCTTTAGGTGCGCGCCGTGGCAGAGCAGGAAGAGACCGAAGTAGAGGCTGGCAGGTTGCGTCGAGGCGGAGGTGGGGTGGTGGCTGCGCTTAGGCACCGCACCGGGCTTCTGGATTCCTAGTGCTAGAAGGAGGTTCTCTTCGCCGTCGTCTCGTCCGATGAGCGGGGGGTGAGGGGGAAGGAAGGAAGGAAGGATGGATGGATGGATGGCGATGATGAGCGTGAGGCAAAAGGCGGGACGGGTTCCGTGTAAGGTAAGGCGAGGCAAGGTGAGGTGAAGTGAAGTCGGGGAGGGCAAGCGGAGCTGGGGGCAGCGTGTGGGATGGCGGCAGAGTGGTGTACTAAAGCACGGCGTCAAGCAGTGCTACGTTCTCGATGGATGGTGAGATGGAGAGCTCCTAGTTGAAGAGCATCCAAGGTCTACCCCGTATGGCGGACGTTAATGCGGCCCATGCAGGGCTAAGGAGAAGAAAGAGACCCTTGAGACTTGTCGAAAGGCACCTCAGAAGCAGAGTCTGGGTACGGAGTAGTCTCTAGACGTACGGTGTCGAGCCACGAGAGGGCGAGGGTACGTGTGTTTGTCCAAGATGGGATGTGAGCGCGAGGCCCATTCGAAGCATTGGCCTGCTTGTATAAGGTAGACAGACTCTGGACCAATGTGTACGAAGCTGAGGTGGTGCTTTGGCTTGATGTTGAGGTTGGCTCAACCGTGTACTTGCATATCTGAGAGAGCGCCAAAACGGATAGCGAGGAATAGCAACAGGTGAGGTGAAACGAACCCCCAATCAGCTCAGGGAGGTGGCCAGACGTAAGCTAAGGCAAGTAAGACAGATGGGAAGAGGAAGCGGACGTGGTCGAAGGCGTAGGACGTGGGCGTGGGCGTGAGGTGACGGACACGGTACTCTCTGGTAGGTACTGTACGGTGCAGCGAGAACGAGGGCTCAAGGACCCCGTGATTTTTTTCAGTCGGGGAGAGTGAGTGACGAGCAGGAAATCAAGGACTCGAAAAGAATGAAAAGTCTGGGGCACCAAACAGCCAAAGTACGACCCCTGTCATTTGACCAGGGTGGTTGAGTGCTAGCCTGAAGTGTACTGCGTAGAAGAGAGAGGTCAGAGACTCTGACTCTCTGAGTACGAATAGTAGTGAGGACTGATGTAGAGGTGGAGGAACTTAGGAAGAGGGATCAGGGAGGGCAAAGTCGCAAGTTGCAGGGAGGGGTGGGGTGTGAGGTGTGGGTGGGTTGCCGGCACGGTCACCTGCATCGTGCGCTGCAAGCCTCCGCACTTACCTTAGTGGCAGCAGTCAACGGACAGTGGACAGGTTAGGCCGGCCGGCCAGCAGCAATGGAATTGGAAGTAGGTAGGCAGGGCAGAGCAGGGCTCGAGCCGGCCTAATTTTCCCATTGCTACCTTTGCCCAGTTTCTTACGGATGAGGATGCCATGGATGGTCCTAAGATATCCCGTCCTACCTGCCCTGCCCTTCCCCCAACAACTGAAAAGGACGAAAGGCTGATTGGATAAGGCGCCGGATCTTGGATCGGAGCCATGCGGACATGAGACAAGCAGAACCATATCGTTGAAACGGTGCGGTTGCTCTTACGCCTTACCTAAGCATCCACCTTAGTGTACCACCTATGGAAGGTAGGTACCGGTAGAGGCTGAGGCACCTCTTTCTGGCGGGCTCGGGTCACACGAATGGCGGTCAGCAGGTGGACTACTAAGGGATTAAATAAGTTTTGATTGGTTCGTGAAGCTCTTCTCAACCTTCTCGTTAGCTTGGTGCCTGACTGCTTAGCTGGGTGGGTCGATACCAGTTTTCGATGCTAACGGGCTTATGTCCCTAGCGGGTCATCACATGCCAGCTCGGAGCTCCCCCTCTCACCTTCTCCTCTCAATTCTCTCTCATCCCCAATCTCATCCCCCCCTCCCGCTGTCCAGCGCTGTCAGTCATCTTCATGTTCTCCCTGCCCCAGGAATTACCTTCCACTATTCCATTCTAGGCCTGGCCTCTCGATGTACTTTTGTACCTGTATCCGTGCACTCGTGCTCCGCATCATCAACCTTCCTAAGCTTTTCCCAGCATTTCCACGCACCTCACCGCGCTCACCTCATCTCAGCTTGGGGAGCTTTGCAAAGAGGTTCCACGTTCGCACCCGTTCGACATGCTCTGAAAGTTCCTCAGTTTTTGCTCTGCTTCGATATACCCTGTCTTATTCCCATTGACTCACAAGTCTGGCCTCATCGTTCGGCCAAACTCGTTGCTTCCATCTGTCGCCTGGAACCGCATCTGTAACACGTCTTCATCCCGTTTTGTGTCTTCAAGTCTCGGTATCTCAATTAACGCTGTCACATCCTTACTTGCCGCACTGCCCGTTTGTTCTATCCACCCGGATGCCTCGTCCATCAAATCCCTTGGAGTTTTGATGGCTGTCCACAAGTTCCTGCTAAGCACCTAAAGTAGCGCCGACAGATCCTACTAAGGCACCTCACAGACCTTGAACGGTTCTTGACACGGCGAGACAAAGGAAACAAACACAGCCTCGGTTGATACGAAACGGCTGGCTGTCCCAGCCTGTCTGTCTGTGGTTTCCCACCAGCCAACCAGTCAACAATTGACCTCCTGTCTTCAACTGTCCACCAAGCATTCCTCGTTCGAGAACTAGGAGCAAGCGCCGAGATTCTTGACGGACGGTCGATCGCACTGATCGAAATCCTCCACGCCCGAAGCGTCCCGCAACTCGCAAGGACAAGAGTTCTTAAGCAAGGCTAGCAAGGTATTCCCTGTCCAACGTCGTCTACCACTACCGAGCCAACGCAAAACGCCGTTCCCTTCAGGTTTTGCTCCAGACAGACTCCAGACTTTGATAGAAGTCTCTTCTTCTTCTTCAGCACCGTCGCACTCGCATGGGTTGCCGCGCCTAAGCCCCATCTGGCTTGGCTGAAGATTCAATCTTCACTCCCGTTTCTTCCTGGCCGCCAAGGTGAACCGTGAAGCTCAGTTTCTCCGCGTGCCAGACCAGCTGATCGAAACACTTGATCCTGCAACCAATCACATTCGCCAATCTTGCTAGCCGTGGCGGTAATCTGCGCTTCGGTCACGTTTGCCAGATCCGACCTCTCCTCTTATGCGTATCTACCGTACTCCGTGCTCCGTACCTTTCTCCCTAACTTACCTTACTCTCGACCGTGCCGAGGAACCCAATTGTCACATTTCCTTCGGCCTCACCATTACCTGCCCCTGGTCTCCATCTGCACCTACTGCACAACCTACGTCGCTCATCCTACCCCAGGCCCTCCATCACGCCGTGGGTCGCACCATTACCCCACAATTTCTTATTTCATTCCCGTCCCCTTCGTCTCTTAACACGCAAGGTACGCGATACTTTTCGCTATTGAGCACAGCTCCAGCCCTGCCCTAGGCGCTGCGGGTTGGTGGTTGACTCTGAAGTAACGGCCATCACGAGCCTTCAGAAGAGCAAGTTGATCAATACTACCCCCTGGTAAGACGCGCCCACTAGTTCGCCATCTTCATTACGCGTTTTCCTGTTATTCTTCAAACGTCTTAGGACACCTACATGCCTAGACTGTTCTCCTGTAGCTTGTTTGATTGGCATCCGAGGTATAGGCCCAGCTTCTAGTGAAGATGGGCCGGGCAATCCCGAACCTTGTTCCTCATAACCAAATACCTGTCATCGTCTGGTTGGTCTTCCAATTCTCGACATGATTCATACTCTCTAGCTGGTGCGGATGGCCAGTCCGCTTGCTGCTTCACTCCCCTATTACCTAACGTAACTCATGCCTTGCCACGGTTCTGCTGTCGTTACGCCCCTACCGATCATCACACTTTCGCCGGTCCTTCACCTTGTCTGCCCAGAGCAACGACCCATGTCTCCAGCCACATCCTTCGTTTCCCAGATCCCCTCTGCTGAACTCAGTTTGACGAGCAGCCTAGCAATTCAAACCTCACGCCATTGTACGGTTACATCATAGCACATCCGAATGTGCACAGACACATCGCTTCCGGCTCTTATGCGGATCGCTGATTCTCTGCTCAGGAACCGTCTCCAGTTCAACTACCGGCACTGACGCCGAAGCCTCATGGCTGCCGTCACACCTTCGCTTCCCGCAATGCTACCTCGGAGTCAGCTGCAAATTCGCCGGAATGGCCTTGTCGAGCTACAAGCAATTCCGCCAATCCTACGGCCCCTCCTTCGGGCCTACCTCCTAGGATATGCTTCCGCTGTTGCTCCGAGAGTCCTTACGTTGCTGATGCAATACCTTACCAAAAAACGCCGTCAAATTGCAAAGGAGAACGGGTGCATCGGGTTTGTGGCGCAACTAAGGCGGATAGTCCTCGCTGGTCTAGACCCCCAACGGTTTCCAACCTTCTGTGCCTTGCTTGTTGGTGGCAGTACACTTTTAGAGGTATGTACATTTCTTTCAGCGTGAAGTATCAAACACTTGTAATTGCCGATACCAGGGCTGTGGTTGCTTCACTTGGTCTCAAGTACTGTGAACTAGGCATCCAGTACACATGGTGATGGAGACCTCAGAGTTGCACTGGCTTCT